CCTCCTCTTCTCCCTCCTCCTCCTCCTCCTCCTCCTCCTCCTCCTCCTCCTCTTCCTCTTCTTCGTGGTCTTTGCTTAGTACCTAAGCTTGTGAATTGAACCTATGAATACCTCTCTTCTGCCCATCTGTAGTCATCTTTATTGATGAATCAGGGATAACATGGTGGGCAAACTTACATAGCTTCATTTGGTATATATGAAGAACTACTTGTGCCTTGGAGCAATCAGACTTTGGAGTCTAGTATTTAGTGTTACAATACAAAGTGAAAAACAAAAGCTTAACATTATACCTATCTACATGCTGGCAAGACTAAGTGGACTAAATTTGGTTTAAAAAATGCATACCAAGTTGTGAATGGAAAGTGATGGAGTATAGCGTGAAAAAATGAAGGGGAATGCAGAACTGGTGAAAAATAAATAATCGTCTTTTAAAAGGAAACTGAGCACAATGCTGCTATAGCCTTTACTCTGAAAACAAATAAGAATGAAAAGGAGCTTAACTTGGCATGTCAGAGTATACAGGGACTCCTAGCAAGCCCTGGATGGGAGACGACCTTGTCTTTCAGATTCTGTGTGGCTGCTTTGGTGGGATTCACAGTTAGCATGCTACTTCACTTTACAGGTGAAAATACTCAATACATATCTTTTCCCTCTTTCAACTGATCCTCCTGGTAGAACAGGAGTTAAACGTAAAATAGCTGACCAATTAATCCATGGCTCCTATTGTAGATCGTATGGTAGTTCTATGTGTTTCACTCAGTAGACTCCCTTGTAAGATAACACTATATCATCCGTTGAATACTTTAAAAAGTTCATCATGGTAAAGGCCTTACCTGTTATTCTTTTTCTTCTGGGGAAACAACAAATTATCTTCTTTGAAACGTCTTTAATAGACAGAGCGCAATTATTATCTCTACAATGCTCTATGTATTTCTTTATCAATTAAAGTTAATAATTAAATATTACTGATCACGAACGTTTTTCTTTTTCATTAGATATTTTCTTTATTTACATTTCAAATATTATTCCCTTTCCCCACTCCCTCTCCCAGAACTCCCGATCCCATGACTCTATTTGCTTTTATACTATTTTTATTTTATGCAAGTATTAAGGTCAGTATTAGGTTGAGGAACTAGCAATACATAGATGCAAATAGTAAAGGAACAAGCAAGACAATAAACTAAGTTCCAGGAACACTCCTGTGATCACTGTTTCTAAGGGCTTATCAGGATGACCAAAATATCTGAGCCTACTTCCCTGTCCTAACCCAAAGTCATCTTTATATCTGAAGCCTATTTCCTTGTTCTAGCATAAAACTTAGATTTCTGCCTGAAATTACTTCTTTGTTGTAGCCTAAGGTTTAGATTCATGCCTAAAATTATTTCTTTGTTCTAGCCTAAGATTTAGATTCCTGCCTGAAATTACTTCTTTGTTCTAGCCTAATGTCAGATTCCTGCCTGTAGCCCATTTCCTTGTCCTTGGCCAATGTAAGATTCCTGCCAAGCAACACCAAAAGCTCTACACATCTCCCCTGCTTTTATTTCATAAACAAGACTAAGCCTATCTTAGGTCACTGTGACAAAAACGCCTTCTTTTTCCATCATGGAATATGCATTATCAAAAGCAATGCACTTCTCTCTTAGGTAAGTCTCTGTGCAGAATCTTATCTGCCCTTGGCTTGCCAACCTGTTGAATTAACAACTCTGTCAAGGGATCCTTTTTCAGTTTTAAGTCATGTACTTTGGCTCCCAACATGTTAATGTTGTTAAAGGCAAGCTTTATTATGATGGATAGGAATGAAGTGTTTTCCAGGACAAAAAGGGTTGGCATGATCAAGCTGTATATGCCACTCTTGAAGCTTGACTAAAATGAAAATACTGACATCAAGCCATGGATAATTTTACCAGCAGTTTCTGCAGCATCAACTCTCAGCAGTTCAGCATTCTTTAAATTCATAATCTCACTATGCAAAGCTAAAACATCCAGAGAGGTGTTAGAATTATGCCAAATACCATGCAAGTGTCTTTAAACATTTTCCTAATTATAATGACTATCATTGTAAATCTTAGAAGTAAGATTTTTTTTAGAAGAAGTATTTTTTTGCTAAATGATTAACAAAAGTAGCTGTCTTAACTTCTTGTGTAAAAGCTATTGCAGAAGCAGTGGTACTCGCAATTAATGTAATTAAAGCTGTTATATCAGCAATAATCAAGCCTACTACCCTATTGTTTCTGCTTAAAGCCTGACTCATTTCTTCCAGTACTTGCCAGCTTTTTTCAGAATAAGAAGGTACTGTAATACTCAGGACAATAAAACAAAATTTGGTTGATAGACCACAATAACAGACATGCCAGGTTTAAACACACTAACACAATTAGAAAGTGTACAATAAATGGAAAGTACATTAAATACTGTAGAAGAAACAAAAACAATTTTAACTTGACAATTTAATGAGTCTTAATACATGCAGTAACACTTGATTGAAATCCAGATCCTGTCCCAACTTTATCTCTTGCTAATATAACATCATGGGGAACTGCTTCTAAAGTCCAAATATGTCTCTGAAAGTGTGGAGATTCAGCCTTCCAAATGAAGACTGATATTTCCAATATTGGTTGATCCCTAGACTAGTAAATGATTTAGACTGAATTGCTGATGACATTTAAGAAAAATAAGTGATTACACCTTTTCTGTTTGATTGTCTGTCCCACAAGGTCTAAAATCTTGAGGCAAGGCTGCTCATATGGGATATAGGAGAATAAAGGTAGGTCAGGAACATATGTCCAATACAGCTTCCCAGTTACCATTGACTCAGCTAACTCACAGGTCATCATTATTCTTTGTTCCAGCACCAGAATGTCTCACTGATCACTCTGGCAGCCACCATGCTCCTTTAGCATCCTGCAAAAAGGAACACAAACATGCTTTCTTCTCCATATTAGATACCTGATTGTGATCATGCCACATGCCAGCAAGTGAATCCTCCCTTTTCACCTAGACATAAGCATGCCTAGTTGTAAGGTGCTATAGACACTCAGGAGACTGTTCCTTGACATCCACATTTTTCAAAAATTTAAAATAAAAAGGGCATGATTTAAACAAATTTGTGATTTATGGGCATATACTGCTTCCTCTTTTTTTTTTTAATGAAGATATTGTTTTAAAGTTCCATGGGCCCCTTCTACAATACCTTGTCCTTGAGGATTATAAGGAATCCCAGTTATATGGATAATATTAAATTGTTGACAAAAAGTCTCAAATACTCACCTGCAATAGCCAGTTCCATTATCTTTTTAAATTATTTTTTGATATTTATATTCATTTCAGATGTTATCCCCTTCCTCCATCCATTCCCCAAAAACCCCTTATCCCATCCCTGCTTCTTCTAATTCTATGAGCGTGTTCTCTCAACCATTCACCCATTCCTGCCTCCTCTCCCTCAAATTCCCTCACACTAGGGTGAACAGTATTCACAGGACCAAGGCCCTCTTCTCCTACTAATGCCTAACAAGGCCATATTCAACTACATATAGAGCTGTAGCCAGGAGTACCTCCATGTGTGTTCCCAGGCTTTTGCTTTAGCCCCTGAAAGCTTTCTTTGGTTGGTATTGTCACTCTCCCTATGGGGCCACAACCCCCTTCAGCTCCTTCAGTCTTCTCTCTAACTCCTCCACTGGGGACCTCTTGATAAGTTCAATGGTTAGCTGCCAGAATTTGCCTCTGTATATGTCAGGCTCTGACAGAGTCTCTCAGGAGACAGGTATATCAGGCTTATGTCAGCATGTACTTCTGTACATCCACAACAGTGTCTGCAATTGGTGACTGCTCGTGGGATGAATCCTCATGTGGGGCAGTCTCAATAGGGTTCCACCTCCAGTCACTATTCCACACTTTGTCTCTGCACTTGCTCCCATGAGTATTTATTACTTCTAAGAAGGACAGAAGCACCCACATTTCGGTCTTCCTTCTTTTTGAGCTTCATGTGGGTCTGTGAGTTGTATCTTAGTTATTGTGAGCTTTTAGGATAATATCTACTTATCAGTGCGTGCATACCATGCATGTTCTTTTGTACTTGGGTTACCTCACTTAGGATGATATTTTCAAGTTCCATCCATTTACCTAAGAATTTCATGAAGTCATTGTTTTGAGTAGCTGAGTAGTACTCCATTTTGTATATGTACTACGTTTTCTATATCCATTTCTCTGTTGAAGGACATTTGGGCTTTTTCAAGCTTCTGGCTATTATAAATAAGGCTGCTATCAACATAGTGGAGCATGTGTCCTTGATATATGTTGGAGCATCTTCTGAGTATATGCCCAGAAGTGGTGTAGCTGGGTTCTCAGGTAATACTATTTCCAATTTTCTTAGGAACTGCCAGACTGATATCTAGAGTCATTGTAGCAGGTTACAATCCCACAAATAATGGAGGAATCTTACTCTTTCTCTACATCCTCACCAGCATCTGGTATCACTTGTGTTTTAATTTGGATACTGTCTCTGTGCCTTCTGGTTAGTCTGGCTAAGGATTTAACTATCTTGTTTTTCTCAAAGAACTAGCTCCCAGGTTTGTTGATGCTTTGTATACTTCTTTTGGATTCTACATGGTTGATTGCAGGCCTGTGTTTGATTATTTCCTGCCTTCTATTCCTCTTGTGTGTTTGGTTCTTTTTGTTCTAGAGTTTTCAGGTGTGTTGTCAAACTGCTAGTGTATGCTCTCCATTTTTTTTTGTAGGCACTTAGAACAATGAATTTTCCTCTTAGCACTGCTTTCATTGTGTCCCACAAGTTTTGGTATGAAGTGTCTTCATGTTTATTAAATTATAAAAAGTCTTTAATTTCTTTTTTCTTCCCTGACCAAGTTATCATTGAGTAGAGTGTTGTTCAGTTTCCAAGTGTATGTGGGCTTTCCATTTTTTTTGTCATTATTGAGGACCAGTCTTATTCTTTAGTGATCTGATGGATACATGGGATTTTTTCAATTTTCTACTATCTGTTGATACCTGTTTTGTGACCAAGTATATGGTCAATTTTGGAGAAGGTACCATGAGGTGCTGAGAAGGAGGTATTTTCTATTTTTTTTTAAGATGAAATGTTCTATAGATATCCGTTAAATCCACTTGGTTTGTAACTTATCTTAGTTGCATTGTGTCTCTGTTAAGTTTGTGTTTCCATGATCTGTCCATTGCTGAGAATGGGGTGTTCAACACTTGAACTAGTATTGTGTGAGGTGCAATGTGTACTTTGAGCTTTTGTAAAGTTTATTTTATGAATGTGGGTGCTGTTGTGTTTGGACCATAGATATTCAGGATTGAAATTTCATCTTGGTTGTTTTTTCCATAGACGAATATGAAGTATCTTTCCTTATCTTCTTTGATAACTTTATTTGAATGGTTACTCCATCTTGTTTCTTGGAACCAATTGCTTCAAATATTGTTTTCTAGACTTTTACACTGAGGTAGTAGTGTCTGTCTTTGTCACTGAGGTGCATTTCTTGTATAAACCAAAATGCTGGGTCCTCTTTACTTATCCTGTCCATTAGTCTTTGTCTTTTTACTGAAGAATTGAGTCCATTGATATTAAGAGATATTAAGGAAAAGTAAATGTTGCTTCCTGGTACTTTTGTAATTAGAGGTGGAATTATGTTTGTGTAGCTATCTTCTTTTGAGTTTGTCAGAAGAAGATTACTTTCCTTCATTTTCTAGGGTATAATTTTCCTATTTGTGTTGGAGTTTTCCCTCTCTTATCCTGTGTAGGGTTGGATTTGTGAAAAGATATTGTGTAAATTTGGTTTTGTCATGGAATATCTTGGTTTCTCCATCTATGATAATTGAGGCTAGGTATACTAGCCTGGGCTGGCATTTTTGTTCTGTTATGGTCTGCATGATATCTGTCCAGGATCTTCAGGCTTTTATACTCTCTGGTGAGAAGTCTGGTATAATTCTGATAGGTCTGCCTTTATAAGTTACTTGACCATTTTCCCTTACTGCTTTTAATATTCTTTCTTTGTTTTGTGCATTTGGTGTTTTGATTATTATGTGATTGAGGAATTTCTTTTCTGGTCTAGTCTATTTGGAGTTCTGTAAGCTTCTTGTATGTTCATAGGCATCACTTTTTTTTAGGTTAGGTAAGTTTTCTTTTATAATTTTGTTCAAGAAATTTACTGGCCCTTTATGTTGGGAATCTTCACTCTCTTCTGTACCTATTATCCTTAGGTTTGGTCTTCTCATTGTGTCCTGGATTTCCTGAATATTTTGGGTTAGAAGTTTTAAACACTTTGTGGTTTTTTTTGACTGTTGTGTCAATATTTTCTATGGTATCTTCAGCACCTGAGATTTTCTCTTCTATCTCCTGTATTCTGTTGGTGATGCTTGCATCTATGATTCCTGATTTCTTTCCCACATTTTCTATCTCCAGGGTAGTCTCCTTTTGTGATTTCTTTATTGTTTCTACTTCCATTTTGATGTCCTGGATTGTTTTGTTCAATTCCTTCACCTGTTCGGTTGTGTCTCTTTGTAATTCTTTAAGGGATTTTTGTGTTTCCTCTTTAAGGACTTCTACCTGTTTAACTGTGTTCTCCTGTATTTCTTTGAGGGAGTTATTTATGTTCTTCTTAAAGTCCTCTATCATCATCATGGGAAGTGATTTCAACTCTGAGTTTTGATTTTCTGGTGTGGTAGGGTATTCCAGACTTACTGTGGTGGGAGAACTAGGTTCTGCTGTTGCCAAATAACCTTGGTTTCTTTTGCTTATGTTCTTGTACTTGCATTTGGCCATCTGGTTATCTCTAGTGCTACCTTCACTCACTGTCTCTGACTGGAGCCTGTCTTTCATGTTATCTTGTTTTTCTCAGAACTCCTCAGACTTCAGGTGTCTCTGTGATCCTGTGATCCTGAGATCCTGGGTATAAGAGCTCCTGGGAGCCAAGCTGTCTCTGTGATCATTTGATCCTGATTTGACCAATTTCCTGAGCTCCTGTGATCCTATGATCCTATGTTCCTGGCTGTGTTAGAGCTGCTTGGAGTCCAGCCTCCTCTGAGTTTATGGGGTTTGGTGCAGAGCTGCCACTCAAGGACTGCTCAGGGTACCAGTGCGGAATGGAAGGAGCCTGTACCACTGGGCAGAAGTGAGTTCCTGTGTCCCCAGGGATCCCTACTCCCTGTCTGGGGTCAGTGCCACTGCCTCCTCACCTCTAATCCTGGATATGTTAGAGCTCTTGGGTGTCCAGCCTCCTCTGATCACACCCTTTTACATATAAAATCAGTACTGTTGACCTATGGACAAATCATGACCCAGTGATTTAAAATTCATGAAATAACAAGACAATATTTGTCTCTAAATGAGCAAGAGACTATCTAGCAACAGAACACTAAGACTTTAAAAATTGAGAAATGTTAGGAAATTTTGCCTTACTAGAAAATACTGTTGAACAATATGACAAAATTTGAAATGAAGTACACATAATAAATGACTCATCTCCAGAGATGGATCTCAGTATAAAGAATCAAATATGTACATGTTAATAACTCCTCAGTTAACAATATGACGTTAGACTAGAAAATCTTTTTGAGGTGTTTATTTTTTAAATTAAAAATAGATTATTTTTCAGACAATGTATCCTGATAATAGTTTCCCCTATATCTTCTCCTCCCAGTTCTCTCTCCTCCTCTCCCATCTTGATCTACTTGCTCTCTGTCTCTAGTCAGAAAAAACAGTAGACTCCTAAGAGTTAACAAACAAATATGACAAAAGAAAATATAACAAGTTGAAGCAAAACTATCATACTGATAGTGGACACAGCAACTCCACAAGAGGAAAAAAAAGTCCAAAGAGCTAGCAAAGGAGACCAACTTGTTCTCACAGTCAGGAATCTCACAAAACTAAGCTAATAGGCTATGGTATATATGCAGGAGGACCTACTGTGGAACTGTATCCTGCCTG